TGCATGTTGTGTATAATGTATGGATTGTATGTAATGCAACAACTTAGTCACCCTCATGAAGGTGAAGTACTGGACCGGTGCACATTTTTCAGGCTTATTTACACCAAGAACGATCCTATTCCAAAGCCAATTAATGATGAAGCGGCAAAAGAATTTGTAAGTTCAGTCTCCAAGCTTAATATTTGGGAAGTAAATGTTTAACAGTTTGAGCCCTAGTTGAATTTTTATTTCTCTTTATTTTATTCGAGGACTAACCATAATATATATATATATATATATCCAAAAACTGCAGAAAACCAAAGTTGTTGATGAGTAGCCTGAATAAATGAAATGGAAAATGGGTTTAACAACGTGTTGCTACCGAACAAGCAAGAATCGTTGCTGAACACGCACATGTTGAGGTTGAAAGAATGAAAGAGGAAATAATTATGAAAGAGCAAGAAATATAATATAGGGAAAAAAAAGGTTGAGGAAAAGTTCAAAGAATTTAAGGCTCGGTTGAATGAGAGAAACGCCAATCCATTTCTAGTATTGTAGGAGCTAGGGGAGTGGAGATGACATCATTGATTGTAGAGTCGTTGATGAAGCTATTTTCAAGACAAACAGGCTACAAGCAACCTCATGCCACCCCCACCAACTGTTCCCTCAAATGCAATGTTGATCAAGGAGACTTATGTGGCTCGAAATCGGATACCAATACTAGGTACATCAGATTCTTAATTACCCAACCAATGACTTGACACTGATGGTTAGAAATTTTTATTTGACAATTGCAGAATTTTCTGGTTTGAATGGAAATAGGTGGGGACGTTTAAAATACTAGGATTAATAGTTTTGATGGAACTTGGTTGGTACATATGACATAGATTTATATGTATTTTTGTGTATCTATGTTGCTCATGGGTATTTATCTTTTAGAACTAACATGCACATTTCTCGACTGTAGTTATGTCAATTGGAACCCTGGCATAGCAAACAAGCTATACTAGAAAACGCTAAATCCTACTTTTAGTCAATCACTCAATGTATGCAAAATGCAAATAATCACTACACAAAAGAACATCATACATAACTTATATGAATTAGGATAATTGGTTAGAGCAACGTGTTCATTCCCTTGTGTCCAGATTTGAATCCCTTGTCCCCGATTAATTAGAGTAGTTTAGAACATGAAAATGTCAAAAAATAAAAACAAAAATAGAACAAACACATTTAATTAATTGGAACAGTATAGTTGGTATAACAGTAGAAATGATGATATGTTAGAAAATTAGCTATTTGTTTCTTCTCAATATATACCTAAATTGATATAATCTCATCGCAAGCTGCTTCCATAATTATTTGTACTAAAAATGAGTGGAAGAGGAAAGGGAGCTAGTGCAAGGAGAAAGTTAGAGTTTGATGAGGTACCAAACCCCTACAACCAGCCATACTATTCACCTGCCAAATCCTCTAATGATCCACCTCAACCTCAACCTCAACCTTAATCTTTAGCATCACCTCCACCTCCCACCCTTCATGTATTCAAAGACTTCTTAGGTATATATTTCCCTAGCATCTTGGAATTGCTCATCCCACAATAACAGCACAACCGGGTTGATTATGATATTGTACAATGTCCAATAAGATCACATCCAAATAATGACATTTTACATTCACTACTCCACTTTATGCCATGCTAGGTCTGCGATCGAGACCTCATTTTACACCATCAACCCACCATTTAACTGAAGTTTGGAATTTAGTGAGGAGATTGATTCTGATGTTGTCAATGATGGAAATTATCATGGGGACCAATATGCCGAAAGTGAAGCCAGTCCACTTAACAAGGTATGACTATCTATGGTTCAAACTGCAACCCTATCATCAACGTATGAATTGATACGGGCCTACCATAAGTTGTGTCAAAGTTTAACACTAAAGATGGGAAATTTCTAGATCGCGATTCATGGTAAGCCATATGTGAGAAATTTCATTTTTAGTTTACTGTAACAAGTGTAAAGTGCGTAGAACGTCTAAAGAACGCGTGGATGTGATGTAGAAGCTTTTTATAACTTTTGTTCAATTCGAAGACAATTGTAGTATGGGTCATTTTGTTGTAAAGCTATGTGAAAGTTAATATATTGAATGTTGTTTTTCTTAAACCACATATCTCTACTTCTAACACATTTAACCAAACCACAATAATCCTTGAAAATTATAACACATAATTGAAAAAATAAACCATCAATACATAAATAATTTTCCATGTGCTTTAAACAAAACCAAGTATTAAAGTATAATGTCATTCATTGTGTCACCTTGTTGGCATTAGCTCCTCTTGATCTCATACAGGTGAGTATGCAAAAATTTGATTATATTTTCATTTACTTTCATAGAGTCCAATATAGATACATGAGCATTCAAAAGGCTATAAAATTGTATAAACATTTACATAATAAAATCATATGCTTCTCTCAATTACATATGAATACATATTAATCCATACTAGTGAAGTAGGGCAACCCAAACTAATCACATCAAACAAGTTTAACAATCCAAAAATTAATTATAGGTAACATATCACTGACTTCAGCTCTAATAAGACCATCCCCAATAGGGGCTCTATTTGGGGCTTAACCACCACAAGGCTCCCATAAATACAAACTCTCCTTAAAAAGGCATCCCCAATTGTGCAAATTTGGGGCTTTAAAACTTGAAGCCCAACCGGAGTAGTAACTAAATGTATGAGCTTAGTTGAAGCCCTTGAAACCGAGTGGGACCCGCAAATTAAAAAAGCTGCAGCCCACCTTTTTTGTCTTTCTCACTTGCCTGCGATTGTATAAGGCCTACTTGCCATTTATTTGGTTTTTCAACAGCATGCTGACCCACATCCATTAACCAAATTTTCAAAGCTGTGTCAACAGCTATGTTGTGAAGCCAACTGCTCTGTGCCAACAGATATAAACGACTATATTATGTCCAATGGCTATAAATGGCCATATTGTGTCTTTTTTTTTTTTTTTTAGAAAAAAAATTTGCAACCCAATTCCCCCTATAAATTTCCACAATACTTCTCTACACACCACAACATCTTTATCACTCTTACTCAATTTGTCAAATTTTTTCACTCACTAGATTATTTAATTTTTTGTAATTTTTTTGTTAATCTCTTTTCCACTAATGGCTAAAAGTTCGAAGCAAAAAGTGCAAATTACTCCATCGATGAAGATGTTGCTCTATGCCTAGCTTGGATAATCATTAGTGAAGATCCAATTATCGGGAATTGTCTATCAAGTGGCACGATGTGGAATCGAATAAGAGATCAATTCATACAAAGTTAGATCATCAAAGAGCTTGAAATCGCGTTGGACGAACATCTCCCAAATGTGCAACAAATTCTCAAAGTGTCTTACTTAAGTGGCAAGGTTGAACAAGAGTGGCTAAAATGAAAATGACAATGTGAGTTTTTTTAATTTTTAATTTTATTTTGCCAACCTAATATTTTGTCAACTAATTTAAACTCTTGCATATAATATGTGTAAATTGTTGACACAAAACGACTTTTTTTCGAGATGACCAAGAAAGCATTCCTCCTTGACCATTGTTGGAATGTTGTTCAACATACTCATAAGTGACAACCCTTTGAAGGGTTACAATCCTCCCCCTCTGTAAACGCTATAAATAGATGATGATTCAATCCGTTCTAGAAACTCAGGTGCCCCCACAAACCTCAAACCCATGGCGAAGGCCTATAGGACACAAAAAAGCTAAGGAGCTAAAAAGAAAGGCTGCTGTGGAAGAGTCATCTCAAGATGATAAAGAGCTCAAAGAAATTATGAGGTCTTACAAAGATTGTATGATTGAGAAAAAATAGTTGAAGGTTATGTTCAAGGAAACTGCCACAATCCAAACTCCGGCGAGAAGGCGATGGGTCCAACATAAACAAGCTGATATTATCGCAAAGAGTTCTTCCCGTTCGCTAAACTTTGAGGATGAAGTCTATCGTCCCCAACCCCCAAAAGATGATGATTTTTAGAATAGTTTAATAGTTTGTTTTATTTAAAGAATATTGTAGTTTGTTTTATTTAAATTCCGTTGTACTTTGTTTTATTATTTAAATTCCATTGTACTTTGTTTTATTATTTTAAAAATGTTCTAGTTTGTTTAATTTAATGAAATGATTGAATTCAAGAACATTGCAATTTAATTATTGAATTCTAAACACACAACTCTAAATTGCAAGTACATTGAATTCTAAACACACAACTCCAAATTGCAAGTACATTAAATTCTAAACACACAACTTTAAATTACAAGTACATTGCAATTTAGTTATTGAATTCTAAACACACAACTCTAAATTGCAAGGACATTGCAATTTAGTTATTGAATTCAAAACACTAACACTGAATTTGAAAAGACAACAATTAAAGTTATGTTCCATATTGCTCCCACAGGTGTTGAATGATATCAAATCAAAGGTTGTAGTGGGAAGTTGGATAATTTATTATGCTTCGATTAATAGATTCTAATTGTATATTGCGTGATCTACGTTCATGCGGTACCAGAGCCTCCTCCACATGACATGGTGTGTCCTCAGCAAGAGTTATGTCGTCTTGGTCACGCTCATCTTCAATAATCATATTGTGAAGAATTATGCAAGTCTTCAGTACCTCCCAAATGTCTTCTTCGTACCATTGGCGAGCAGGACTCTCGACAACTGCAAAACAAGCTTGAAGAATTCCAAAAGCTCCCTCCACATCCTTATGATACGCCTCTTGCATCCTAGAGAATAATTGATGTTGTTGTTCCTAAGGATCCGAAAATGACTAGACAATTGTGTTCTACTTTGGATATATTCTATCTGGAAGACAGTAACCTTGCTTGTATTGTTTCCCATTCAAATAATATTAGACCCGCGGAGCACGTCCTTGAATGACGTCATCAAAAATAGGTGACTTGTATAGTACATTGAGGTCATTATATATTCCCGGCATTCCGAAGTTGGTGTACCAGATTCATGTGTCGTAAGAAGCAACCGCTTCAAGAATTATGGTTGAACCACCATGGTGGCCCGTGTATGACATTGGGCAGTTTTTCCACTCCCAATGCATGCAGTCAAGGCTTCCTAGCATGCCAGGAAACCCCCGTTCCTCAGCTTTTTGGAGCAATTTTTGTGGGTTCGCCCTAGTTGGTTTACAAAGATATTCAGCTCCGTATAAGTTGTTGACTGCATGACAGAATCTCTTGCAAGCTTCAAAGGATGTGGTCTCTGCTATCTTCAAGTGATCATCATTGAGGTCAGCTGCCGTACCAGATGCAAGCATACGTATGGTGGTTGTCATCTTCACTTGTGGTGAGAAACCAAGCTTTCTAGTGGCATCAGGTTTTTGTTTGAAATAATCGTCGAAAGGGACAATTTGTTTCATTATTCGATTAAACAAATCACGCCTTATGCGAAATCTATTACAAAAATCTGAAAGGGGATACAACGGATGGTTAGATAAGTAATTTTGAAAAAGGTTTTCATGGACACTTACTCGATCTCTTGATATAGTACGTTGTCGTGACGATGTACCCCCGTGGACAACCATCGAGGTCTTCTCATTCTTCTTCGCTGTTTTTTTCCTTCGGTAGTTTTCGAACATTTCCAAAAACATTATGTTGGCACCTGTCTCATCACTAGAAGAGCTGTCATATCCATTGTTGGTCGTTCTAGTGTCGTGGTAGAAGAATGAATATTGAGAATACAAGAGTTGGGAAGTGGTGTGTTATGAAAATAAGATGGTTTTTCATTTATAGAGGATGTGATGGTTTAAGAGATAACAAATATACGGATGAGATTCATATGAGGTAATTCAATCCAACGGTTATTGTACAATGTAATCTGAAGAGATTAGATTTTTTTATATAAAGCCATAACGAATGTGACCCACATCCACCTACTACTATTATTATCTGACAAATGTAAATGACATAGGGATGGAAGACCATAACGAAGGGGACCCATATCCAGATCGTCATACTACCACAATTATTATCTGACAATGTAGATAAGAGAGGGGTGGAAAGCCATAATGCAAGGGACCCATATCCAACTTTGGGATGACCATTGTATCTATGAAATAAAATGTTGATTTCCAAATCTTGTCCAAATTTTGATTTTTTTTGGTTTAAATGTTCACAAAAAAAAAAAAAAAAAACTAACATAAAATGAATAAAAATTAAAGTAAAATAGTTAACCCAAAAAAACCCACGTAAATTACAGCCCCAAAGATTCCATTGGAGCTCTAAATGGGGCTCTATATACCCTTTTTAGAGCCCCAACCATTGGGGATGGCCTAAGTCATTCGGAAGGCAAAAACAAATTGGGCAGGATGTGGTATGGTTGACTACAATTTCCCACAATATTTAATACTTGCTCAGAAGATACAAGTTCAAAAAAAAAAAAAACACTCGACTTGGTTCTTTCAAGTATGTTTTGTCCCAAATTTGAGGCTGAGAAGATACTTGCTTAGAAGATAAAATTGTCACAAAATCCCACAATATTAATAATCTTGCAAGTTAATGCTAGTATGTTAAGATTAAAGAAGAAAACTATTAAAGTTGAGTACCAATTGACCAACTTGACTTTTTAGGTGTTATGTTTCTCCATTGTCATCTCAATGTTCATGCAAACACTATTAACGTCTGTACCGTCATCTCATAAACACTATTTCTTGTATGCATTTCTAATATGGTATGTTTCTCCATTATCATCTCAATGTTTATTTAACACCAAAGGCAACTTTATTAGATATATTTAATATATTTAAAGCTTATTATAAACACATACCATATTATTGAGCTCATATTTGATTGTATTATGATTATGCTAGTTCACCAAATGACTTCCACATCTAATTTTCCTTCCACCTCATCAATGTCATTAATTGCATCATCCAAAGTTTGAGGTGAAAAAATGTCAAATTATGTATGCTTCCCATGTCAAAATAATCCCTAGGTCTTGTTCTCACTACAACATGTAGAGCTTGTGATCCCAGAATAAATGTAATTGGAGGTGGAAGCAAGTGCATAAACTTTACCCGTGTAAATCCAAATTTATCAGTTTTGAAACCATTATGAGGATCCGGATTAATCTAGTCGCAATCAAATAGCACTACATTGCGTGCATGGCCATAGTCCAATTCAATTATGTCTTTAAGTACACTGTAGTAGTCAACAATTCTAGATCTCAGGTTTGGTCTCAGACAGTAGCATAACTATCAGTCTGAGAAAACACAAATACACCACTATTTTGTGACTTTAAGCCACCAACAATTAATTTCACATGGAACTGAAAACTGTTCATAATGCACTTGGTCCAGAGATCGGCCCATCTTCTGGGGCCACTAGCCAATGCTCGTAAATTATCGCTAACTTGTCCAACCTCATTTTGAATTTGGTTGTAGATCTGCACATCAATAGTTAAATGGAAATATCTATGTCAAAGAAAAGAAGTTGATGACCTTGTTCCCGTCCACATATACATATTACAGAGTTACATTTACTTCCCAAGTTACTAAACCTATTTAGATTTGTACATCTCAATCAGTTCAACATTAACAGTTAAATAGCAAAAGACAATTAAATTCTTACGTGTTTGTGGAACCATTGAGGAAATGACTTGTGTGCTTGACGTTGAGATTTTAAAACAGTCATCCGCGGACGTCGAGTGGCCTTTTCACATTCCACATGTTCCCTAAAAATGAACATGAAAGCTAACATCAAATTCAATATGCAACTACTTTGTCAATTGGCACAACAATTACAATACTTCAAATATTTTTATCTATCACACCTGATGTAAGGTTAGACTTTTGGAGTGTTCCAAAAGACATGTCTGTGCACCCTATCCCACTCTTGATGGTCAAGGTGGAAAGATTTGACCATCCCGAGTGATTTACTGGGTCCTTTAAATATTTCAAACCCTTCACGCATGTCACTTCCTTGTGCATCAACATTCCTCCCAAGTTTATTTCACTTGTGAACTGTGTCATCACCAAGATACAAGGCGCGAAATGATAAACATTCTTCGACAATATAGCCTTCAACAATACTACCCTCGAGACGAGATTTATTTTGAACATATTTTTTTAGAGTATACAAGAACCTGTAAACAGTATAGAATGATGTTAAGGTTACATTGCACTTACATTATATAAGATATATAATAAATATGAATTAAACTAAGGTTGTGAAGCTTCGCAACCATTAAACAAGAGAGAAGGAGGTCAAATAGGAAAAGTAGGGGTGGGTGCCTCTTGGTAAGAGCTGTAATTCTTTTAAGAGGTTCTACATTGAAGCCACTCATAGCAATTTTACTATAGAATATGTAAAGAAAAAACAAATACAAGCATATCTTTTGATCAATATTTGATTAACACAAATAAATCATCATTTTTCATCGTTACCCATAACTGTTAATTTTTTCTAAAGTAAGAGATTGACCAACCAATTTGAACCAGCGTAATAGAGATTGACTAGGCTATTTTCTTATGTTGTCTGTCAATAGTTAGACTGAGGAATAACAAATTCTCATGTTGTAGTTTTTGGATTTTTTACCGTTAGCAAAGGAGAACAAGTAAAAACAGACAGATAAATTGACTTATCATTCCACGAATAAAACTTAGTCATTTAAACATACCTCTCAATTAGATACATCCACCTATAATGAACTAGGCCAGCTATTGCAGCTTCATCAGGAAGGTGAATTAGTAAATGTAGCATGATGACAAAAAATGCAGGGGGTAACAACTTTTCCAATTCATAGAATACTACTGCAACACTTTTAGATAATGAATGAAAGTGAACAGGGTTTACTAATAAACTGGAACAACTTCCGTGAAGAGGGCATAACGTATACCAATTGAAAGAAAGTACTTCATAATGATATGACAATCATGACTCTTTATTCCCACAAGTTTATTCTCTTTCTCTCTCACACATCTAGCAATATTAGATGAAAACCCATCTGGAAGCCTAACTGATGCTAGTACTTTGCACAATAACGTTTTCTCATTTTTTGTAAGTGTAAATGTTGTACCACAAAATACAGTACATTCCCCAATAGTCTTATGGTAAAATTTCTCCTTAATATTAAGCTCCTTAAGATCCAATTGGGCATTAAGTGAATCTTTGTTCTTTCAGTCCATACCCAATAAAGTTCCAAGGACATTCTCAGTAACATTTTTCTCGATGTGCATGACATCGAGATTGTGTCGTATAAGAAGATCCTTCCAATAAGGTAGATAAAAGAAATATGCTTCTTTTTTTCCAAGGACTAACACAAACAATCTTTGTACTGCCTCTCCTGCACTTAGTTTGTATTTGCTTCCCCGTTCCAAATTGCCACCTCAACCCACTTAGTGAAGCCAAATATTGTGCACCTAACATAACAATAAGGTAACCTTGACTCAGTATGCCCATTGAAAGAACATGTATATGTCCAATACTTATGAACGATCGGCAGCCATCAACAGTGTCCCAAGTAACAAATTTTTTTTTTCATGCTTCAACCGCAAAGAGTCGGTGCCATATGCACAATTTGGCATGCTTTCTTACCTTCAGTGCTCCAACTGAAAAGCATGTCATATGCAGGGAAGTCATTGATTGTCCACATCACAGCAGCGTGCATAATAAATGTCTCTTGCTTGAAAGCATCAAAAGTCGGTAACCCATGTACTCACAAAGTTTTCAACTTATTGATCAAAGGTTGAAGATAAACATCTATATAATTACCAGGTGCTTTGGAGCAGGGATAAGCAACAAGAGCATAAGATAGGGTTGTTTTATACATAACCACGGTGGAAGATTGTAGAGTGTCATTACAACTGGCCAAGTACTATGTGATAGGTTCATCATTCCAAAAGGATTAAACCCATCGGAAGCCAAACCAAGACGAACATTGCGTGACTCAGAACCAAATTTAGGGTATATTGTGTCTAACTTCTCCAAAGCGGGTGTGAGCAGGATGCCTAAGAACCCCATTTTTTGTCTATGTTCAGCATGCCATACCATTGACTCAGCAGTATGTCATGACATGTAAAGACGTTGTAGTCGTGGTCGTAATGGTAAGTACCGTAAAATGTTATTTGCTATTTTTAGGGTTGTAACACTTTTAGAACCATTACTAAGTTTATATCGACTAGCCCCCACACACCTTACAACTTGAATCTTCGACATGACCCATCCAATATAACATGCAATGATTCTCGCATGCATCATTTTTTTCATAACTCAATTCTAAGTCAGTAATGATCTTCTTTGCCTTAAAAAATGAAGAAGGCAAAGTCTCCCCCTTGGGCAAAAAATTCTTTAGATATGCCAAAAGGGTTGACATAAAGGTATCTGACCAACCACTCAAATAAGAATGATAGTTTACTATTGCCACAACCAGGGTATAATTCAATTTCACCCTCTTCAACCAAATGATAGAAGTTTTTAGCATCATGGGTAGGTTCTTGGTGAGACTCTAGGCCATCAAACCAATGAACACCAAAAGCATCCTGCAATATAGCTAACATATCACCCTATGTTGCATTAGGAATTTTCATTGTTGGTCTAGACAACGACTCACCATGCGTCGTCCATGGTTTATTTGCATATATCAGGTCCATATCGTCATAAAGGATATGGTCTAGACCCCCGGTTGCTTCCAAAATCAATTACAGCAATGTCTACATACATTTAATATTACCTTCAAAAGCTGCAACACTTAATGAATGCCCAATGAAAGCTTGTAGACCACTCATATAGTCATCGCTCCTTCGATCTAAGAATACCCAACCTATTATTTTCATAGACACCAATAAATCAAACCATAATATGCCATTATACCTATAATTTCCATAAATGCAAAAATAAAAAAGAAGCCACAAACACAAATGAAAAGTAACGATGAAATTGAGCATTGAAATTACATACTATTTCCAAGGTGGGGGTATTCTACCAATGTATAACGTGATTTCAATCCTCTCTTCAAGCAATGAGAAGTCAATGGGTCTTCAAGCAAGAACAAGCCGATGAGTCTTCAAGGACTGAGAAGAGGATGGGCTAGCGAAGATGAGTGAGGAAGGTTGAGAAGAAAATGACCGATAAATGAAATGTTTTGGGGAAAGAGCGGGTAAATCTAATGTTTTTCGGCACTAAAAGACAGTGACTAATAGCATTAGCCACTAAAGAACAATGACTAATATGATTAAGGACCGAAGGCAGTGTCTAATACATTGAGGCCCCGTTTGTTTCATGGGAAATGAGACTTGGGGATGAGAAATCAATTGGTTTCTCATGTTTGGTAAGTCCAGGCATGAGAAATCGTTTCCTGGCCCATGGGAAAGTAGGGGGGAAAGTGAAGCCATCCTCCTAACTTGAGTTTTGTTTTCCTTCATCATGAGAAAGTTTGGGAAAATGAGCCAATATTAAATAAATATTTTTCATGACAATTTTGTCCTCATTAACAATTTAGAATTACAATAAATCATTAAATGCATTTATTTTTTATTTGATTTAATATGGGTATAATTGAAAATTTATACAAACTTTGTTTTCCATTCCTACTCAAAACAAATATGGGAAAAGAATTAAAGTGCTATCTCTCGGTTACTTTCCCAGCATTACCAAACGTGGGAAATGAATCTTCCATTTCCCATCCCTTAGGAAATGACAGGGGAAATGATTTCCCCTCAAATTCATTCCATGAATCAAATGGGACCTGAGGGATTTTGTCACTGTTTTTTATATCCGTGCCTAATGGGAAATTAAGCACATTCGTTTTCCCAAAATACGACAGTATTGATGTCCATTCGTTTAAAATACGGATGCTAATAACAATAGGGACTGTTTTGTGTGTCTAGTAGTGCAATAGGAACGGTTTTCTGTCCCTTGATGTTTATAGGGACGGTTTAATAAAGTTCTGTGCCAAAAAGCAATTTTTAAGAACTGTTTGTCTATCAGACTCTAAAAAAGGGTCCTCATTGCCCAAATTTCTAGTAGTGTTGGTTATGATGAGGAAGCTTTTCCTCTACATATCTAGTATCAGCTAGTTGGGATGTTGTTAGAGTTGGAACTTGGAACATCACTCAATATAGCATAAGCTATTGTTTTGATTCTTAGCCACTACAACAAATTTTTCCTGGGCCAAACTAAATTTGTATGATATAAATTACAATGTTGGCCCAAAATGTATCAATTTATAAGTTAGTTTATATACTCAAAACAGAAATATTTGTAAAACTAGTTTACCTATCCTGTATTAGATGGTTGATAAAATAAAAAATAAAAAAAATTCCCGTATTAGATATACGAAGGTTGTAAAAATGATGTCCAATGAAAATCAATAAAGAAAAATTAAGATGTAAAAATATTAAGAATATAGTGAATGGGCTAATTAATTACGGTTTATGAGCGTGATGTTGGGGGTGATGTTGGGGGTGAGGTTGTGGAGCCATAGACTTAAATTTCAATATTATCGCTGATATTTTGGCGATAATATCGTTTTTTTTGGGTCCCGATATCGGGACGGATATTTTCGTTCAAATTCAATATGAAATGGTCAATATAGCCTCACCTTGCGCGCAGAGGGATTCGAACCCCCTCCCTTTCTCATCAAAGCCAGCTTCTTCTCCAACTCAGTTGCGGCTGAGTTTGTGTATATACCATCAACTTGTAATATTTATAAGGTCTTTAAAAATTGTCTGCAAGCTAATATTATCTAAGATAAATTTCCATATTAAAAAAATTCTCTAAGAATAAATTTAAGCATATATTTAATGTTATTTATTATTTTATAATGGAGTAGTATTTTGTTGTTATTATATATTATGGAGTTTTATTATTATTCACTTTGAGTTTTAATGTTGTTCATTATATGTGATACTAAGTTTGAATTTTAATAGGAATTCTTTCTATGTGGTACTAAGTTACTCATACATTTTATCTTTGTTTTTTTGGTTAAGCTCATATATTTTATCATATGTATCAAGTGTAATATATTGAAGTACATTATTATAACTAAAAAATTATGGTGTGTTTAATTTTCTTTCATTAATTACTACATATTTTCTAAAGTCACAGTGTTTGTCAGGTCGCTACATAATCAACTTAAATCACTCAAACCCACCATGCCATGCATTTCCTTCCAATTTTTTGTGATAAAATAATAGACAATTGACTAAGTAAACATCCTCTAAAGTTTCAATAAATTTTTTCAAGTTTTTCTCATAATTTCAATGATTTTTATTCAATTTTTATCGATATCGATATTTTATCGATATTTCCATCGATATATCCGTGTTTTTGGACCACCGATATTTTCGAAACTCCCGATATTTTAGACCTTGGTAGGAGCTAGTATGGTTGGTTTCGTTGTAACTGAATCAATTAAGAGAAGCACTATTGATGACTAGCGAGTAGAATATTGAGATGACTAGTGAGTAGAATATTGATCTAAATCTTCCTGGAGCTTCTCGATAATTTCGTCCTGCTCACTAATGGTCTCTGCGAGTCTCCTGTTCTCTTCCTTGAGCATCTCAAACTGGCGAACAACACTTTGAATCTGCGCTTCAATGGCCTCATCGCTCAACTCAAAAGCACTCTCTACAACCCTAACAACACGCCACAAACTCACCACAGCAAGCAGCCCCCCTCCCTTCCTCTCGAAAAAAGCTTCTAAAATCAGCGCACCCATCAAAACGACGCCGTCAATGAGGTAAGCGGGACGCCTCCGGAGAAACGTACGCATGCCAAGCCCCACAGCTTGAGCCACCGTCTTCGCCGAAAGCAGGGCGAGGATAGCAATGCCCACCCAGTGGTACCAAATTTCTGGTGTGGTTTTTTTGTTCTTGTTTGGTGAGTTGTTGCACTTGGTTAGCAACGATGAGGAGAGTTCAAGGATGGTGAGGATGAGATCTACAATGAGGAGGGAGATAGAAATCGCATGGATTGGTGTGGACTCTAGAAAATTGGCCAAGTGGGTTCTCCATGGGGCTAAATTTAGGTCTTGAAATTGTGTGGAATTATTATTATTAAACCAAAAAAACCTGTGCCATTGTTGCCTTCTATGCCAGCTCCTTGTGAGGCTTTGGATTGAGGCTTCAATGGATTCAATAGAGAATGAGTTGGTGGTGGTGGTGGTGGTGGGAGGCCCAGGTTGTTGAATTTGAATTTGAGATGAGGCAATTTTCATTATTGGTTTTGGAAATTTGGAGTTTTAAGTTTGTGGTTTTGGTTTTTTGGGGTTTGATTTGGTGCTTTTATGTGTGAAGTGCAAGCTTGGAGTTGATGATATGCTTTGGAGTAACGTTGAATGAATGCCATGCTGTGCAGTGCAGTGTAGTGTAGTGCAGTTGTATTGCATGTGTCAACATTGGAGATGCGTTAAGCATCAAATCAAACCACCTCCTCACCTTTTTTCTATACTCATTTCTGTCAAATGAACTTAAGCCCTCGTTAAAGAAAAAGGCTTCACCAACTAGACCAAACCATAGAGAGAGATATATATAATTTTAATATATTCTTACATGTATTACCTAGTATTAGAATTTGAAATATTGTTAAGTAATTATATATATATATATTTTTTAATTTTAATAAATTATTTTTGCACATGTGTTAAATTGTGATTTTCATGAGAAAAAATGGCTTTTTGGTGTTAAATTGTGATTAGTTTGAAATTTGAGTTTCTAACTTTTAAGGAGCCGAGCTTTTTCATTCCTCCTTTAAAAGCCTAACTTTCATTTAAAGACCACCCAAAAAAAATATTTATGGTACTCCTTTAATTTTTCTTTTACTTTTGAATTTCTGTCTTTTGAAATTTGAAATTTAACAAGTGTCAAAATTCTATTTGTTGTGAGATACCTCCTTATTTCCCATCCCATGTGTTGCAAGTAAAAATAAGAAACCCTTTCTCAACAGTTCTTCTTTTTTCTCCCAATAGTACGCCTGCCTTCGAAAGCTCCATTCCTGTTTACCAGGATCCTGGAACCATTCCTCGATTGATTGAAAATTACGAGTCGAATTTCCCAAACCCGTATTTTCCCAGTGAATCAAAGCCTCCTCCTCCTCCATTGAAACACATGCAGAGCTCAAACTTAAAACTCCCAAACAGCAAATCAGGAAAGAACGCTACCCAGACAAATCGTTTTATACAGTAAGGCGCAAAATGTTTGGTATTTCGTACGGAGAGCTCTTCCTCTTGATCGGAGCCACGGCTGCTCTAGTCGGTATACACCCACTCTCTCTCTCTCTCTCTCTCTCTCTCTCTCTCTCTCTCTCTCTCTTTTGTGTTTAGTTTATCTCAAAAGAAAAATGCTTTATACTCCAATTTTTCTCTCAATCTTTTTCTGACTTAGGCATGGGATGGAACCTAATGTTTGGGTACCCATGTGAGAGAGTTGGGCTGTTATAGCTGTAGCATTTTCATTGTCCGCATTGGTTCAGAATTTTTCTTTGCCAAGGTCAAAACTTGGGTAATTTTATTGGAAATATTGACTGAAAAAGTGAACTGGGTTTGATGTTTAATGGGTTGTAAATTGTAGGACCAAAGGATTTGCCTAGAATTGCTAGAACAGCAGGGAGGTTAGCGGGTCGGTCAATTGGGTATGTTCAGTTAGCTAGAGGCCAATTCGATAATGTTATGCAGCAGTCTCAAGCCCGCCAGGTGCATTTTCTAATTACTTAATTAATGAGAATTATCATTCTATCGTCAATTCTTTGTGAGCTAACATGCGTTGTGCACAATGGGGTAATGATTAGAATTTCAATGTCCTTGAACCAAATGATTTATCTGTTCATTTATGCCCCGTGCTTGACCTTTAGGTTCATAAAGAACTTCAAGATGCACTTGCACAACTAGAGTCGATTCGTTATGAAGTCCGGAGTATATCACTTATGAATCCTGGTCCTATGGCTCGAAGGCTGATGGATAATCCTCAGGACCCGGCTCCTCTGAGTGATGGTAGTATTCTTAGCAGCCATACATTGCTGCCAAGTAATGTTTTGCTTCTCTCCTAACTACCAGTTTATATGTTTTCTTTTTAGGGGCCAACAGTTCACTTGAGAAGCCTAAGGAGGAGCTGAAGTCAAGAAATCCTGTGGTGAAGGTTTGAATAACACATTTCTTCGTATAAATGGCCCACGTTGCATCATCTTGAATTCCTTATACATATCTTTGACAGGATGATACTTTCAGAACCTCAGACTCACCTAATTTGCATAGTCAAGCAACTGCGTATGCAAAGTTGGCTGAATCTGATGCCGTGAAGACTGGCTATTTGAAGAGCAGTGCAGAGCAAGAAAACCTTAAAGATGAAAGTGGTCTTTTCGTTGTCCTCCCAATTTCAGCTGAAAGCACTGGGATGCTACCAAATCGCAAAGGTTATAATCTTCTTGAGTTACGACACTTAATGATGTTATCATTTAGTTTACTTTGTTGTCTCAATTTGGGAACTCAGCTGGGAGCTGCCAGGAATGGACATTTCCTTTTCATTATCTTGAGGGACAACAAATATTTAAATTTTCTCGAGTACACTACTTAATTTTCTGTATCGCCTTCATTATCTTTGATTATAGAGGTCATGAATGCGTGTTCTGCACATATATTATGGTTTTCATATCAATGTTGTCTTTACTAGCCATTTTTTACGTGTACCTTTGTATAATTGGTCAACAAAGGTATCGCTCATGCCCTTAGTCTAGTTGTGTATGATTTCCCCTATATAATTGGTTTCTATTGAAGGTAACTATATCTGGATTGTTGAGGCTTCACTTGGTGGGCTATTGGCTTAAACATGTCATAGGAATACTCTTGAAATAATGTTTGGAAATACAATCCTTGATTGCATAGTATGAAAACTCTTCCACATTAAATTATTTCTATAAACCTATGTTCTGACACACACAAATATTGTTCCAATGTATAACTGAACATGGCACAACTTTTCCAGAGAATTCGCAAATAGTTTTGCTTTTCATCTTAGATATATATGTCCAAATAAATAACCAGTGGTTGTGATGGCAGAGAATGTTCAGGGATCAGACATTGTGTTGGAAGCAATAGTTGAAGCAGAGGTAGCACGTAATGCCAAAGATTTCTTTTCACAGCCTGAAAATCAAATACAGTGAACTGAAAAGGTGACGATACTTTTATTTATTTATTTACAATCTTCATCACTCTGTTTATAATTGGGTATGTTTAGTGTTAAATAACAAATACATAAGTGAAGAAGGTTTATGTTAGGGGAACTTTTTGTTTGGTTGATGATAAAATCGAACAAGGTTTATGTTACTACTCGAAGATGTAAAACTACTGGAGATCCTTAAGATCTTTTTTTTTTCTTGCATTGGGACCAATGAGAATTGTTACATAGAAAGCAGTTTATTGTGATGGACAAATTTTGTTCACATTTTTAAATGGTTGGTGTATTAATATGTGGGGATGTTTATGGTGTAGGGGGTAAGGGCAGGAGAATGTGTGTGAGCCAATTTGTTTTTGGCTATGCATATCAACACATGCTAGTTTTACAATGCTAGCTCAATTGCTGGCATTATTTGCTGGTGAAAATGCAGCACGATTGGCTTCAATTTCCCTTAGGTGGTGTTTGATTCAAAGGAATTAACTGCAATGGAATGCAATCATTGCTATTGAAAGCTCCATTACAATGTTCGTTTTGGCAATATGACTCTTGAAAGCCCATTCCTATAGCTGTTGGTGGACCATTTCCAAAATAGAATGGGTGGAAACCCGTTCAAACATGACGCCCATTGGATGCCAACACCTCAAGCCCTAGGAGTTCCCTTCCATGGTTTTCACTTCTCGGTCTCTCACCTCAAGCTCAACCAGTTCACTTTCATGGGTTCCCATTTGTATTTTGAAAACCTGATCAACAGGATTCTTTCACCAACAGACTCTGAAACCAGTCTACAGAATGATATTAGTTTCTAGATTTTAGTCTATAATTCTTGTTCTGTTGCAGATAAGTCTTTGATCAAACATGTATAATATATATCATCCCTGTAAAGAACACCAATATCATATTGAGTTATTAATGTAATCTACTGCAATGTGATATGATTTGTCACATTTTATGGCTGTGATCTGTTTCTGAATGCCTTTCATATTATTCCTTGGATTTTTTAGAGGTAAAAATGTCGAAGTTCATTTGCTTTTCCTGTCAAGATTTAGGGGTCAAAATGTCCGCCCACGTTGTCCATACTTCTCTAACCTCTCTCCCATTTTCTTAAGTTCACATTTGCCCCTTCCAACAATAGACTTGAGACCAAAGTGACAAATCGAATGTTTGAGGATGTAAAATTTAGCTAAAATAAAGAGGGAAAGAAGTAATAATTCAAAGTCCATAATTGCACTACATTTTACTCATATTTAAATAATGGTTAATTACACTTTCCACCATTCTGATTTCGATCCTTTAACAGTTTAGTCCCTCATTTTTTTTATTAAAAAAAAAAATTTGACAACAGCAACCTTAAATTTACAAATTGTTACACCATTGATCCCTTCTTCTAACTTACTATAAAGTCACACGTTATTCTAGTGAGTCCATGTTTTTCTTACATTACATAAAAACCAAGTTAATGTCAGATAAATTAAAATATGCCATATCGACAATAAGTAAGAATACTTTTCAAAGGCCAGTGGGGTATAACTCAGTTGGTAAGCTCTTCCACCTCTACTCATGTGAGCATAGACCCACATCCCAGACACTCAATAAACATTTGTCAAAATCCCTCTTCCTCAATGGCTTGTACTAAAAAAAAATTCTTTTAAATAAACCTCAATCTTTTGTGTATATAGAGTAGGGGTGGGCATTCATACCAGAAAATTGGAAAATCAAGCTGAATTGAGTTGACTAAAAATGGGACCAAACTAGTTTTGTTCGGTTCCAATTTTGGTTCTTATAGTGAAAAAAACCAGACCGAATGTGTATTTTTAATAAAATATTTAACCCCAGTATTAAATTTCTAAGCCCATAACTAATTTTTCTCCAAGCCCAACATCAAATCACTTATATTTTCTAAGCCCAATCAACACCTTTTATATAAAATTGAGCTGTTTGTGAATTTTTTGTTAGAATCAGACTGAATGAATAGTGTTGGTTTCCATTTGGGGTGAGAACTGGAGGAAAAAATTATTCTGCCATATGTCACTTCAGAAATATTTCTGAAGTGACGGACAGAGTTTGTAGTTTTAAATGATTTGTGCCTTTTTTTTTTGTGAGAAAATTTTGTTCAATTTTTCTAAGACAATGACATTGTTTTTTAATTTTATATTTTAGGAAGACAATGACATTGTTAGGGGAGGAAGCACTAAACTACAAGAGTGCAAAATGTAATCTAGGCTTAAATTTATGCTCCAAAGTCCAATAACTTTGTTTGACTTGTTTCTATCCCATCTTGACCCGCTGCTGCCTTCGCTAGACTGAAAGAACATTCCACTTGCGCGTCATTGCGCTATTGGCAGGGAATAAATCCTTCGTCAGGCTGAAAGAACATTCAACTCTCTCTCCATTCGGTCAAATGCTCAATAACATCAATGCAAACGCACTCCCTTACGCAATCCAATTTCCCTTTAGGCTTCACCTACCACTCCACATCAGATAGAGATATCTTTATATATAGAAATTAGTGAGAAGCAAGAGGCATTATCAGTCCTTCACTAGGCTGCTTCAGTTCAGAAAACACAGAAAACCACAGTTCCAAAATGGCAGCAGGAGTGAGGAGGATCAAGTTGGGTTCACAGGGCCTTGAGGTCTCGGCTCAAGGCCTGGGCTGTATGGGCATGTCTGCCTTCTATGGGCCTCCCAAGCCCGACGCAGACATGATCAGTCTCATCCACCATGCCATCGACTCCGGCGTCACCTTCCTCGACACCTCTGACATCTACGGTCCCTTCACCAACGAAATTCTGCTTGGCAAGGTAAGCCACTAACCTTGACTTTGCTTCTTAATAATCGCTCTTAATTTGTATCAATTGCCTTTTGGGTTTGTTTGGGATTTCAAATTGGATGACTTGATGATGAACTAAATTGGGTTCTGTTCACTCTTGTTCCTGTCTTTAAGTTACTAAATCAAGCACAAGTACAAGCACTGAGAGAGACAATAATTTGTAAAATTGCTTTATGGGTTTTGTTGTATTGTTGAATGGGATGAAATAATGATGAAGTGAATTGGATTGTGTTCACTATTGTTCCTGCATTTAAGTTACTAAGCCAAGAACAAGGACTGAGAGAGACAATGATACACATAATTGCTTTTTGGGTTTTGTTTAGATTGTTCAATTGATTGTAATTGATGATGATGAAGTGACTTGGATTTTGTTGGATTGATGAGGAACAGGCTCTGAAGGGTGGGGTACGGGAGAAGGTTGAATTGGCCACCAAGTTTGGTATCAGTTTTGCTGATAACAAGAGGGAGGTTCGAGGTGACCCTGCCTATGTGAGAGCTGCTATTGAGGGTAGTTTGCAGCGCCTTGGTGTTGATTCTGTTGATCTCTATTATCAGCATCGGATTGATACTCGCATCCCCATTGAAGTCACGGTTTGTTTTCTTCTCTCTTGAATTTTGATCTCTTTTTAATTACAATCGCAGAGATACTTGATAATATAGTTTCCATTGAATTGAGGAAAACAAGACATGTGTGTTTAGTCAGAATGGTGCTCGGGGAGCACTAATTGGAATTAGTAACTATGCATCTGCCAGTCTATTGAAGTCATGGTTATTCAAAGATCTACAACATCTTCTATCATTTTATTAGTTCACAATTTTATCAATTCCACATTCAAATTCGTTTGTGTTCTACGAAGTAGAAGTATGGTTTGACCACATCTCTTTTCGATTGGAACCCCTTTTTTAGTTCCATTTTCTAAACTAATTTGAGTTGTGCAAGCGTGAAAAGGTTGTCATTGATGAATGTAGGGAGATTCTCCAATAAGTATTTAAGTATTGGTTACATACTTCTAATCTTGGGCGTTAGATTGCATCTAAGAGACTACCAACATATTTAGTGAAGGCAATCCAACGCCCAAGATTAGAAGTTTGTAACCAATCCGTAACATAAAATACTTATTGGAGAATCTCCTGATGAGTGTATTTTCATATCTTTAAGCATCAAGTGATGATGAACTAGTTATAAAAGTTTGAATTACTTTTAGTTATTTATCAACAATTTCAGATGATGGTTTGTGTAAATCTTCTTACTGATTTTAACTGAAAAATATTTCATCTTGATTTTTTCTTTGTTTGACCCTCAGTTATTATCTTTATCATATGTCTGAACTTTGCACTGGATATAGGAGAAATTTGTATTTTATACCTCTAGAGTCCAGATCTTTTACATTTTGAATCTTGAATTAAGCAAGTGTTTTGGAGATTAACATGATTGAGCACTAGGTTCTTTTGTATCTATTTAAGTGCATATATCGTATCTAAATTAGTCAAATTACACAAACTTTAGCATAAATTTCTTGTAGGCTGTAGCTATGCTACTTTCCTTATATACTTGACTGTTAGTATTATTCTTTTTTGTACTGGCATGCGTCATGATTCACTTATTTTAAGAAATGCACGTCATTCCTTAAATTCCTTTATCATGTCATTTACAAGGTTGGGGAACTCAAGAAACTAGTTGAAGAAGGTAAGGTAAAGTACATTGGCCTATCCGAGGCCTCTGCTTCCACAATAAGAAGAGCACACGCTGTTCATCCAATAACAGCTGTGCAGTTGGAGTGGTCGTTGTGGTCAAGAGATGTGGAGGAAGATATAATTCCTACTTGCCGGTGAGTCTTAATGGAACTAACTGATTTGTTTATAAAGTAGGTAAAATTTCATGCTAATCTCATTTTTTGATTTTCCCAGGGAACTTGGCATCGGCATTGTTGCGTACAGTCCTCTAGGAAGAGGATTCTTTTCATCAGGTGCTAACTTGGTCGAAAATCTTCCCAACGATGATTTCCGAAAGGTATGTTGATATGCCAAATAGATATTTATTTTCAAGTGCACAAGTGCATGCACATTAGAGAAAATTAGTAGCATAGTGAATGTCCTTCTATCTCCTAGAAAGTCCTCAAATTAGTAATTGATCTCACAAGTTTTAGTAATCTCTCCTAGCAAGCGAGAACTCTCGTATCAGGGCCTTTGAATTGTGCCTCCTCTTTATCATATCATTTTGATAAAGTCATTTTAACCTTGATTACTTTGTTCGTTGCAGTATCTACCCAGGTTCCAAGCTGAAAACCTAGAGCATAATAAAACAATATTTGAGCGGGTTAGTGATCTTGCAGCAAGGAAGGGGTGCACCCCATCTCAACTAGCACTGGCCTGGGTTCATCACCAAGGAAACGATGTGTGTCCGATACCCGGGACCACCAAGATTGAGAATTTTAACCAGAACATTGGTGCTCTCTCTGTGAAACTGACACCAGAAGAACTGGCTGAGCTTGAATCTTTTGCTTCTGCTGATGCCGTTAAAGGTGACAGATATCAGAATGACTTTAGTACTTGGAAGAACTCTGAAACTCCTCCAGTGTCTTCATGGAAAGCCACATGAGCATGTGCCTTTTGTCATGTCATAATGCTTATCTGTACCTCATGAGCTTTTTGAATTTCCTTACCGTTATGAGAATAAGTAGTTCATTTGAAGTGGTATGTAATGACTGACTTTGAGATGTTCGACATTTTGTACGCTGATTTCATCACGTTTTATGAGTATCCAAAAGTATGAAATAATCTGGGGTCAAGCGAAGTTTTTCATTTTATTTCTTTGACTTAATTTTCTTTGTCACTAGCAAGTTTTAAGAGATTACAACAAAGAATGACATTGCCTGCCAGAAACCAGAACTAGGCTTTTGCTTTCTAATTTTTCGTGAGGGTTGAAACATACATTTAGTATCTATATTGTATAGTTCTTTTTCAAATAATTGGGGAAGACAAGTAGATTGTCAAACCCTTCCACTCTCCTCTTTGCCCCAAGACCTCCTTCATCCCCCTTTCCCTATCCTTAAGATCCAGCTACCTGTCCCTGTCTCTTGGGACTAACTGAACATCATTTCCCCTGGCAGCAACAAC